GGGGGGCGGGGGGCAGGGCGGAGCCCTATCTGTTCTCATTAGCGGGAGTCTAGCGGAGGGGAGTCCCAGGGGACCAGGTCTGTTTAAATAGCTATTTCTCTAAAGTTCGTTTCCTCGTATGTAAACTGGTGAAGCAAGTCCTTTGTGTCAAAGGCCCCAGAGAGTCACTTCTAGGAGTCTGAGCAGATTCTGGGATTTGGATATTTGGGGTGGGTGGGGGTGGGGTGGGGTGGTTCTAACATTCTGGGATGCCAACAATCTGGTTCTTAGGATGCCTTAGGATTTCAACGCCCTGGATCATCTGTAGTCTACGGTTGGAACATACTAGAAACCGGACCGCTAGGATACAAATACTCAAATCCTTTCGCCTGCCTAGATTTCAACCACCTAGCGTTCAAAAAGCCGAGCCCGTGAACACGTTAGGGTTTCCCACAACGGAAAGATAGCACACTCCAACCTTGGAACGGTGGAGGAGTTCAACACGCTCGCTTGGGCTCCAACACTCAGAAAGTCAGCAAAGTTCAAATTGCCCAGGATCCGAAGATGCCAACGATTTGGAATGATTTGTCTTAACATTTTTACCAACAAAACATAGGTCCCTGTTCTACCTTCCAGGATCGGGAGTCAAAGACTTGGATTTTCCGCTTGGCTGCCTCTTGCCAACCTCCCGCCCCCAAACTCCTCCCCCTACCCTGGTAGCCCAAGTGAAGGCAGATTTGGGGGAGAGGCCTCTTTAATAGGTCTACATCAGACCTGGGGTGGGGGCCTGGGGGGCGGCGTGAAGAAAGGGGACAGGTACCCAGAGGTCTTGGGGCTGCAAGGCGGGCCAACCCTGCAGGGTAAGGACTGGGCTCAGAAACCTCACTTGCCCCTGGCTGCCCACACCAGCACGTGTCATCTGATCCTGAAGGCCAGCCCGGCTTCAATTTCTACTGTTTCCACCGAATAGGAGGTTGGAATGGGTCCTTAGACATCTGTGGCCCCCACCTGCCTCTTCCTCCCCTCCCTACACCTGGTCGGCCCCTCCCTTCCTCCCTGCCCGCTGCAGAAAACAACATGCAGAGACACGTAATTTTGGGGAGGCCTCTGGGGCACCCCACCCCTGCCCAGTTTTCTTTCGATCGGGGTGGGGTGGGGCAGGGAGGCAATTGGGGTCATCAATGCCTCAGGCCTCCTTTGTCCCCCTTCCCCATGCCAGGCCCCAGGTTGCCTCTGCCTGCACCCCCTCTTGCCGCCCCCCCCCGCCCTCCCGCTGCCCCCTGGAGGGGACCCGCGCCCGCACCTTCTGGTCTACGATGGAACATGCCAGCTGCTTCACGTGGGCCAGCTCGGAGGCGGCGGGCAGCAGCACAAACTCTCGGGTCAGCCCAATCTGGATGTGAAAGGAGACCCCCGGGCCCGGGGCCGCGACCTGGGGCAGCAGCAGTGGCGGCGGCGGCGACTGGAGCTCCGAGTTGGGGCCGGTGGGTGGCGGGGACCCAGGTCGGGGACAGCCTGGGAGCCCTGAGGGATGGGTGGGGGCGGCCATGTGGGTGGGTGGGGGGGCTGGCCCGGGCTTGGCCCCCGGGCGCCCACCCGGGGTCTGGCAAAGGGGAGTCCTGGCCACCGGATCACCGTATCCACGGGGTCTTATGAAGTGGTGGTGGGAGCGCGGGGATCCCAGCGGAGGGATCTGGCAGGGTGAGGGGACCCGAGGATGGCGGGATCCTGGGAAAACAAGGAATCCTCGTGAGTCCGATGCCCGATAATCAAAGGATCCCTTGAGACCCTACAGGAGAGACCTAGCGGTTTGGGGATCGAGCAATCGAGAGTCCGCGAAGTCGGATCAGAGAATCTGTTGGGCAGGGGGCCGGGGCGGGAAAGCCCGGGATGCAGAGGGACCCGGGTGGGAGGAAGGATTGGGAAGAAACCGCGAGGGTGGGGGTGAGG